TCACTTCCATATTTAATTATAAAACAATAACCGGTGACATGGGACAGCTTCTCCGTGAAATTACCGGTCATCGATGTGTTAAAACTACGATACTACAATAGTTGTATTTCAAGGTGAAGAAGTTTTTATTACAAAGTAGAAAAGAAGGATGAAATTTTACGTGTTATGTTGAATTTTAAGTTATCGAGGATCGACAGTATATCCGTTCTCAAATCCTTTCTCTCAATCCTTTTCCGATAAAGTATTATTTTCAGAACAACATCGCACGGGAGATTGCACGAGTTTTACGATGAATTTTGGGGAGGATACGCATAAATTCCCTAGATCATTACTCGCGAGGTCATCGAGATCGGCAGATTGAATTGAATTCGAATGAAAATGCATTTGTCATTCACGAACCACAACGCGCGAACGATGACACAAGTTCCGCTGTTGCGACACAACGAAAGATGAAACGGACGTTCCGGTCAAAATATTTGAAAATATTCAACCTTTTGTTCAATTCTTCGAAATATTGGGTATAGTTGTCCCTCCATTTACCCGATAAATTATATTATTAAATTATATTATTAAATTATATTATCAATTTTGCGGCACAGAACGAAATTTACTTCTGTTTCCTGAAATGACATTATTACCTTTTTTGTTAACACATCGACTGCCACGACAAATCTGAGCGTTTCGTATACTATTGTTTATTCTCTCATAGCAAAGATAAATGATATTAGAAACAATTATTAACGATTTGGTGTCGCAGTTTATACGTTACAGTATTGTCTGGTTATTAGGTTGATGCAAAAGTTTTGACGGTTTTAGATTTTAGGTTTAGTTTAGAAACTCCACTGTTCGCTGAATAATCTAAAACTAAGTAAAAACCAAGGAAGAAGTACCCTTTATGCACGTTATAATAGTCTGAGGACAAATGTGCTTTATTTCGAAGAAAAAAATTTGTTTGTTAACCATGTACGAAAAACGTGAAAATTATTGCGTCAACTCAATACTTCTGTTATTAAATATTTATCGTTTGATATCAATTCCTTGCTGTAGTAGCTTTCAATCAGCGGTGATCAGCGTGACAGTGTGAAATTTTTTGCGTTATTGTATGTGAAATATTTATTAATTAAATTAAATTATTTGTATAAAATATTAAAATAAACTAAGATTGTATATGTATTTTTAAAACATGTAGCAGCTTTTCTTTCCAAAATTTTCTTTCCTTTTGTACTGACAGACTACGCGAGTTTCATTCGCGTAAAAGGAATACACGTGGAACGGATACCCCGCGAAAATGAAGCTACTGTTTTTGGCAACGAAAGTTGAAATATTTTACTTACTATAACCGTTTAACATCTAATGAGAAATTTTAAATTGAATTTCATGAATCTGAATATTCTTCAGTTCTAATTAAGACCTTAACGATTGATGACTTAATTCTGCATAAAATTGAATACCGTTTTTTGTCGCGTATGACTCACAGTTTTATCAAATGAATCTTAATTTTCCGCGCTAGGTTGGCTTCGTTACGGGGACATTCACAATATAATTCATAACTCTATTGGCTCCGCTGCGGGGACACGCGTAATTTGCATAATAGGTGCCATATTATGGATAATTGCAAACTGTAAAATTCCATTTTTAATTACATTACCATAAATGAAGCAAAGTAACGAATAAATAAAAATACATGGCGGCACAAATATTTATAATTTCCTTTTCCAAAACTAGAATTCGAGTATTCAAAACTTTAACTAAATTAATAATTTCATAAATTAATAAATTAATAAGAACAGCTCGAACTTGTATACAAAACAAATATTTGATCGGAATTCAAAGAAACTATACTATATATCATTTCAGACAGTTCTTATAAACAAGAATCAAATGCTTGATATGTTCACTAGTAGCCATGAGTTTCTGGCATAATAATCTCGTTATTAACACATTAATTAACTTTATTCTAGTTCTTTCAATTACAATATATTCAACATAAAACCATTGTTATAACATAATTTTCTAACAAAAATTAACAAACTGTTGTATCTTTTTTGTGAACAAAAGACAGAAACTGGTAAAAATTTATTTGCATCAATTAGAATTTATATTACTATGTGCATACAGAAATAAGGACGTGTTAAGAATCATTTGCATAATTGCAATTATTGTTTACATATTGTGCATCTCTCTAATGGTACTAAATACCAAATGAAGCACTAAACGATATACGTATCTTTTTATCATAAATAATGCTATTTACACAAGCGCATAACAGAGGTACTTCGTCTATCTATGTGAATGCGTTAAGATGTTAATTGAGGGAAAATTCATGAAGATTCATAAACATATCCGTAAACGTACAATTCATAAACATACTCCTGTGATAAACGTGTAATAGAGGCGAAATTATTAGTAATAAAGTAACTCTTGTGAAAAACCAAAATTAATCACACAGCAAACGGTTAATCTTTATCTTTATGATTTGATATAGAAAAATTCAAAAATTTGTAATAATGCAATCGAACATACAATATTCGAAATCAAATAATTCTATCTGTTGGTTCGTGCATTAATTCTATTTAATATAGTCAAAAATTTAATCAACGTTTCATTCGAAAATTATGTATATACGTAGCAAAACAACATCCGAAGCAGTCGCATTAATACACCATTTCGTTTATATGAACTGAACATATTTGCATTCTACTCACAAATTTCGAAGTTACGTATTACGTTCGAAATGGTGAGCGTTCGCATTTACTCAATAATAAAGTCAGGTAATAAACGATGCATGCGCATTATTCTATTTCCCGAGATGTAATTAAAGCTCATGCTGCAAACATTTTTTATTTCAGATTCCCTGGTGTAGTGAGTTTATTACGGTAAACAATATGTTTTAATTTCCCGCACAAATAGAAATCTAACAAACTGAGAACTGGAGGACGAGCTCACCGCTCCACAGCACTGCCGGATCATGAAATAGATGAGAATAATGGAAGTACTAAACAATGAACAATAAATTTATTCTAATGCTTTAACATACGTTTAATTGTCGCTCAGCATGGTGCGTATCATAATAAACATTGCTTGACTACAAATTTATGAATCAATATTTACTCAATGAGGTTAGAAAAGGACATTGTATATATATCTCATGAGCAAACAAGTGAAATGCAACACAGTTTCAATCGACTGAATTGATGAATTTACCCTCTACAAAAACATTAACCCTTTGCCTTATAATATCGTGTGGGACTAGCGGTGAAGACTTCAAAAGGAATTTAATAAATACAAATGTTATTCACTTTTTATGGCTCGAAATCAAATTTTATTTACCCGACATCAATCGTTATGCTTCGAAGTAAACGTAAACATAGAATGAGAATGAAATTCGTTTCTTTGTTTAATAAATTATTGACCATAAAATGATCCTAATGACTGCAGTTACGGAAGAAATCATGGGGAAAGGGATTAGCAAAAAAATTATGTAGTTCCATTTATCGTTTGAATGGCCTTAAAATTTTGCAGTAAAGCGTAAAGTAAATAGCTCTTAAAGAAAAAATTTCTCTGAAACTTCTCGATTCAAGAAACAATAGGTATAATTTTGTTTCAAAAAGTTTTCCTATGCGTTCATAAATAGTACAGATATTTAGGTGTCCCCAATTACATGAGCCACTCTGTATGCTTACAATCTTCTTAAAAATCATTACAATTTTTTAACAATTTTAAACATTTAGAAGTATTGGAAAAAAACTTTTTGAAAAAATTGAGATTATAATTCATTGCTTTCGAAAATAAGAAAAAATTGTAGATAATGTTTAATTTGATTGTTTGACCAGAATGTCCCTGTACGTCGGAATCAATTGCGCGCAATCGAAACGCGGAAGCTTCTTATTTTCCTCTCCACAGTCAGTTGTCTACACGTGCACTAAATTATTGCTCGTTCATCCAATTACTATACTAGTTTCTTCCTTTGTGTACCACACTATTTTCCGTTGTCATAACGGCAATGAACAATAGGCCAGAAAAGAAGTAACTCCGATATCGTTACATCATTATCGGTGTCCATTATTCGGAGTTAATTATTAACTCCTATTATAATTCGCCTGATACAATCTAACCAGAAAATTACATGGTATCACATTAAATTTCCTTTGCTTTCCAATAAGGAATCAAGGAAAAGAGTCTATTCAATAAACACTATAATGATTCGCTGTATATAATTCAAAACGAAAATCTAATTTGTTGTTATGAATATTCAAGCCACAAAGAAAATGAACACTTATAATCATAATACAATTCCTTTGCTTTTTTAATACTTTTAGAACAAGAATTACACAATAAAATAATTCCAGCGATCATTGTCGCGAGAAAAATCATAGGGCAATATCGGTTATACTGATTTCCAGCGTTCACGGTAACTCGGTCGGTCAGCAGGGGTAAAAGAAACGCGGCCCGTAACGCTGAAAGAACTTAACCGTCAAAGTGACTTGGTTTTCATTTATAAAAAGAATCCCGCAAATACATTTACCGAAACAATCGTTCGTCATAATAGTATCTATATCGATAAATGAATTTACCGAACAATTCCCTGCAAAACACGCTTCGTTATTTAAAAAATCGTGGCACAAACAGAAAGTGAAAATGGGTCATTTTGACTCGGTTAGTAGCTTCGATGTAAAAGCGTACAGGAAATGAAGCTGCTCGTGTCTAACCTAATTGTAACCCGAAATCGATCTCTCGATAGAAAGACAACGAGTGCCATCGATAAAAATACGATTGACCGCTGGGGGTGTTGAAATATGAATCAAGGTTAGGAAAGAACTCTGCCTCGGGCACGAGATAGTTTTCGAGGGAACTGCCCAATGAGCGGGAGCAGGTTGATTCGCTTTTCAAATATTCCTGACAGTCTGTTTACTGGTGACAGGTCGATTCGATAATCGTGTCCCGTGCGTAAATCGACGGCGGTTATAGGGGTACGGCTGGATCGTGACAAGTACACTGACCTCTCGAAGAAAACGGTTGGACAGGAATCAAGTGTTTGCCTCCGTGAGCAGGGATCCTCGCGGGACAAGCGATATTCCAAGTTACTCACGATTAGGACGCGACAGTGTCCGGCTGGGCCACATTTCCCGTGTGCGAGAAGCGGTTTACCGGCATCTTCCTGACAATCGTCGTTGCTCGTGCTCGTCAGCTTCATCGTTTCATCGCGGGACGCGCGACGGCATCGGCAAACGGGCGACAAAGACGCGGGCCGCAGGATTTCAATTAAGGGAACGCGAGAAAACGGGATATAGAACCGCAACACCTACAGAGCTAGATTTATATGTGGCTCGATCCACCGCGACGCTTATCGCGCTGTCAACGCTCGGCCACTGGCGCACGCTCCCAGGCCAAGCGCATCGATCGGAGCACCCTCTACCACCCGACCCGCCGATTGGTCGGCCGCAGCTGCGCGCGCAGCCGGCGCCGCTCGCGGCTGCGCACTACGCGCTTGAAAAACGGCGCCTTAAAACCCTCCGAATCGGTAGACCGTTTTCTTAACGGTCGAATTTCAAATCTCCAATGCGCGAAATAATTCGAAATCGCGACTTACTTTCACCGTTGACTTACGACGAGTTCGATCGGCGGGAAAACAAACGCGCGTTGTTTCAAATAAATATACAAACACCTTGATGTTCGTTTCTAATAGACTTTATGGTTGTACATTTTAAACGAGTCCGATCGTACAAATGTATTTCTCGTTGAGTTTAGTCATGAGTGTAGTCACGGGTCGTCCGAACGCATGAAACAACCAGCGAAATTAGATATCGCTGCGTGATTTAACTCGGCTGACATTATCGTCTGTACACCCTGATAGGAATTACACACGGGCGTGCACACAACGCGGGATCACGTATAAATGGCTGAAAATTTCGATAGCGATCACGTAGATGCGCACCCGATGAAAATTCCACCTATCAAACTTCCTGACAGTTATTCGCGGAAACGTTTCGAACAAAGTTTCATTTTCCAAACGATTCCGCGGCGTTTCCGGCCATCATGGTCTGTACGGTTGCGCAAGGGTTGCGTTATTACTTGTTGCCGGCGATAGAGATCCGGGAAACTATTCGCTGCCCGTTTCAATGGGATTGGGTATCCTTGTAAATGGAAAATGCTTAACGTTACGTACCGGCGTGCCGATTAAAAACGAGACACATAACCGGGCAGCTCGTCCCATCGTTCCTCGCGTGTATCGCGTTGGACTTCCAGCTGTTCGAGGACCGGTATTGTCACGCGCAGCGCTAAACGCCGACCGCCGGTGTTCTATAGAACGCTAACAGATAGCGTGTTCTATCGTTTCGTCGATGAAAAATTATGCGGCGGCCGCTCGATCTTGATCCTCGAACGAAACGCACGCTATTCGAGGATCCGCGTGTTCGATGAAAGAGCGTGCGCACCAGCTCGATCGGCAGCGTTCCAAGGAAAGTGTTCAGCGCGTTCGTTAAATTTCGGCAATTTCACTCGCGCGAAACGCGGAGCTCCGCTATTCTGCTCGAGAATATTTGAGCCACGCTGCCGGATGTTCGGAAGGACATTGTCAAGGACGAGTCGTAGCTGATCAATGTCCGCCTGGCCTCCTCGCACCAATTCCAGAAGACGAGCTTCTGGTCCCTGGCCTGCAAGTCCGCCAGCAGCAGGGCAAGGTTCTTGGCAACGGTCGCGTCAATTCTATGCACGTGACGGCCTTCCACTATCACCGGAATGGTCTCTGCCCTCCCGTCACACCTGTGAAACCGCAACGCTCGGTATATACGGGGTGAAATTGAGCGCGATTGAAATTGGGAACGAAGGAAGTTTCACTTACCAAGACATGACGCGTTCGCGGAGATACTCCGCGGCCGGATAGCTCAGCGACTGTTTCGGTGATACGAACAGGATCGTCAGTTCATCGACGACGCGTTCCTCGATCAATAAACCCGGCCTGGCCGCGAAATAAAGCAGGAGAATTAAATTGACCACGATTCCGGCGATCATCCCGTATTCCGGACCGATCGCAAGGCAACTCAGGAATGTCACCGTCAAAGGTATCAGGTCGACCTCTGCGAGCAAGGGTAAACATCCGGTTTACATTGTGTTCACACCGTGTACACGATTGCCGGATCTAGCATTTTGTTCTTTTCTTCTTCTATTTAAGTGAAGTCACAAGACATTCCAATTCGAATAAGAAATTAGAGCGGAGGATATTGAAAGTAAACTTGGAATAACTGGGATTAAAGTTTCCACGTTTAATCGGATCTTACTTTTCGTTCTCCAGAGCACGCTGAAAATACGAATCTCGAACATGTAGTACATCGCGACTATGATCACAGCCGCGAGCGTGGCTTTTGGGATGAACTCGAAAGTCGAGGTTAGAAGGCCGCACGCTAAAAGCACCAAACATCCGGTAATTACACCGCCCATCGGTGTTTTTACGCCCGACGCGTTGTTTACTGCCGTCCTTGTGAAGCTGCCCGTAGCCGGCATCGAACGTGCCAAGCTGCCGAAAATGTTGCAGAGTCCCAAAGCTAACATCTCCTGATTAGCATCGACCGTTTTCCCTTTCGCTGGAACAAAACCGGGTATGAAAGGTGAGGTCTCCCTTTGAGGATTCACCGTACCCGGTGCGGCCCGGGTTCGCCGGTTTTCACTACTCTGTCTCTTTTACCGAGCGCTTTTCTTTATTTTCGCGAAAAACCGGGAATGAAACAAAATTATTTTAATCGGATCGCCAGGTTTTACTAGGCCGAAAGAAAGATACGGAAATGGTTTAAGCTTTCCATAAGGTACTTACCAAAAGCTTTCGCGATAGCAATGCTCTCCAAAATGGCGACCAGAGGTACAGACACGGCAGTGCTTCCGAGTTCGCTAACCGACTCCAGGAAATTATAAGTCTGGTTTCCGTTCACAATGGAGAACGGTGGTGGACCGAAGGTCGGTAATCCTTCCGTAATATTTCCAGTAATTTTGAAGGGTTTAATACCTCCGGAGAACAATGAGTAGCTTAATATTATTCCGACGATGACGACTATAGCGTTCCTAGCCAACGACGACACCCACATGAATTTCTGGAACGCCGATCCGTTCTTCTTGCCCGGCAAATTCTGTTTCGAAATGCATTAAGCGAACCGTTTCATCCCAGTTTTTCGTAATTGGTTTGAAAGAGGAAGTCTCTACGTCAGGTGACTCGCAACAATTTAAATTGCAGGCATACCTTCAGACAAACGAGCACGATCATCGAACAAATGCCCAACAACGTGTCCCAGAGCGTGATCTCGTTCACGTGATCGACAACTTTAACAATGGCGTCGATGAACGAGTCGCTTCTGCCACTCAGCCCGAGCAGCGTGCCGAGCTGAGACGTGGCGATTATTAAGGCAGCCGCATTGCTAAATCCAGAAATCACCGGCATACTAACAAACTCCACAAGGAATCCCAAGTGCAGCAGTCCCATCAGCAAAATAATGCAGCCCGACAAGAAGCAAAGGAACACCTGAAAAACGACGAGACTGGGGTCGTCGATCGTGGCGCGGAACAATTTTTCGTATTAACCACGATTCCGCGCTGCTCAGGTAAACGAATTTCCGGGTTTAAGATAAAGGGCGAGCCGTTGAAAGCTCGCGAAAAAGCTGGGTGCGACAAAAAAACAGAGAAAGAAAAACAAAAAGAAAGGTGTAAGTGCACTTACGGCGACGTCCTCTCCGAGCCTCATAACGTGCTGCTGCGATAATAAAGCCATTATCGCGGTAGGGCCCACGGTGATGTCCTTGCAGCTACCGAACACCAAGTAGACGAAGCATCCCATGAAACTGCTGTACAGGCCGTACTGAAGTTTTCAAAAGTTCACCTAACGGGAATTGGCTTTCCAACTATCGTCGATTCAACGTGAATGCCCAATCTTGGCGATACTCGGACCCCGAAATCGTTTCCCTCGGACAAATTTCGAGCGTCTCGCGGCGCTTACCGACACGGGCGTAAAACGAAACAGCAAAAGCCAAATACTCGCAATAACTGTTCGCCGATTCAAACTTTGTTTTCGGCTGAATACCGGCCACCCGGCGAACTTTTCGCGCACGCGAGAAAGAAAGTTGAACGGCATTGAAGTCGGTTATACGCACCTGAGGTGGCAGCCCCGCGACAATAGCGTAAGCTATACCCTGCGGTATAGCGGTCAAGCCGACCGTCAACCCCGCCAGGGTGTCCTGCAAAAGTTTGCTCCAACTGTAGTTGGGCAGCCATGCCAATATCGGTATCCGTCGCAGAAGAAGCGGCTTTAAATCGAACCTCGCACCCGGGCTCCTCCCTGCAACCCGTCGAATTGCAACGATTTATTTATAGCGAATTAATTAGTTCGCCAACTAATTACCGAGCCGCGTACCGTTTCCCCGAAGTAATTACACGTTTTCCTGATTAAACCGATTACTGTTTTTCAAGAGAAACTCCGGCCTACCGAGTCGTTATCGAAGGAATCATCGGAACCTGATGACCGCAGTGAACACCGTTACATCTTCCGAAATTTATCTCATTCGGCGAATGTTCATTTTCTCGGATCAACGAGGGAAAGAGTCTCTTTGTGTTCCTTTGACACGCGTTCCACAGAAATTCCACGGGTTTAGTGGCCCGTACTTCACCAAACACGTCTGCGAATATTGCTGTACTTTATCGAACATTTCGATCGCGGAGGATGTCCCCTGGGACGTCGGTATCGTATCTACCGACGAAAAGCGCTACGAGAAACAGGCTGATTGCCGCGTTAACGGCGAACGCTGACGATAATCTCGACTCCGAAAAGCCAAGTCGAAATCTTAACACTAAAACTACAGAACAGGTCAAATTAACCCACTTCAGGATTTTTATTTTACAAGTATTTCAATTATAAAACCGATTTTCCGAAAGATTTTTAACTAAAGTGTATTTGTACAGATACAAAACTGGGAAACCCATCGAACCTCAAGAAACATATTGTTCTAATTTGTATAAAAAAGTTGGAAATAAGTCACTCTGATTGCTCGGTGATTTTAGTATTAATTTGCAACACGATCACGAGAAACTTTAAAAGAAACGAGCAGCTGTGGAAGCAGCTATCCGATTCCAAGAAACTCAGTTAATCGAGTCAATAAAAAAACTCGGATAATCTGCGCAGATAATGCACAGACTCGGAAATGTATCGTTCTTACTTGTCGACACCGGGGAATATATTGCTCTGGACATAACTGAGAGGCAGCTGCACAATTTTCACTAACCGATACTATGATTTCCTAGTCAATGGGTGTTCGCGATTAGCACCGTGTCGAATGAGCGCGTTACCGATCGTTATACGCGAGGATAAAATACCACGGAGAACCTATCGTCGTGAACGGATCTCTCCAGCGAGACGAATGGGACAGGACTCCGAGGCACAAGGGACGGATACCGGATGAGAAACGAGGAGAACTGAAATTATGTCCGAAGTAGGATATATTGCAACATGTTGATTATTGTCGGCTGTAATCCATTGTAGTCACTAATGTCCTCGTGAAATCATCTTATTCCGCGTGGGATTGCAATCGACGATATTATTTCCCACCGTGAAACGGGAACTGTTAACACTATTTTTACCGAAGCTATCAAAAGACATCTTCCGAGACTTTCACTTAAAATTATTTTCTAAGTTTAATCGTATATTCTGAATCGACTTTCCGACTTCTTCAATAACGATTCCAAAATTAACCATAACGAAATGTTCAAAATTCAATTAAACTGAGAAAATAAGTTTAACTTGAAATTTCGAAAGGTGTTTTTTGACACCTTCGGTAGAAAGTTAACCCCTTGCCTTACAATAACGTGTGAGACTCGTGGCGAAGATTTGAAACAGAATTTACCAAACATAAATGTTACTCAATTCCTGTGAATTCAAATGAAATACTATGTTTCCGTTATCAATTATATTTTAGAACAAAGGTGGGCATAGAATATGCACAGAATTTTTCTCTTATTTCAATGAAGCATTAACGACAAAGTTGTTGTACCGATCACAGTTGGGAAATAAAGCACGGGGCAAGGGGTTAAGCATCGATCTCCACGCGAAGTTGAAATCGCGGACGATTAGAGGAACGCGACAATGAAAAAATAAACGCGCGCTGTTGTGAAATTCATAGGAACGAAAACCGGTAGGCTGGTAGCCCAGGCTTTTAGGGGTTCTATTTGTTTGTTTCGATAACACTGAGTTTATGGTCGCGCCACCTGTTACAGGACATCTTGTATGAGTGTCCGGGCTATTTTCCGGAAGCTACCTACACAGCACCATAATTCGAATCGGCACCAAATCTCGTCCAACGAACTCGCGCCGGTACCCGTTATGGCTCCACCTCGACGGCTGCTTTAAATCACAGGGCACATCGATCGATAGCCTCGCCGAGGAATGATCGGATTGTTTCTAACGCCGGAGGTACAGCTGGCACGCGGACAGCTCTTTCGGTAGACTGGCACGCGTAACGACCC